TTGCGCGGTGTGTTTACAGTCATGTCCTACAAGCTTCTAGTCAGAATGTTGACATTTTTAGCGAGGCCTTGAGTGAGGATGACAGACACACAAGTCCCTTCCTTCCACCAGGTGTCCAAACCAGGCATGGCGCTACCGTTCTGTCTAACTGCTTTTGGTCAGAGGTTGGACTCTCCGACACAAAGCAACCAAGATCCACCAAGCGACATAATAGAATTGCGCATCGCATGGTTTTCGAGAAGGGCACTTTTTGGAGTGCGGCTCAGGAGATCAAGTTTGGCCGTGCTGTGCTGTTGAGCACTGTGGATGGCGGAGTGGACTTGGAGGAGAACAATGAAGGGCCTAACGGCAACAGTGCAGTGTGCAAGCGGTATAAATAAATAAACACACACACATATATATATATATCTACATACATACATACATACATACATACATACATACATATATACCTATATATATATATGGGCATATTGTGTGTGTGCGTGTGTTCGATATGTCAAACGTGTTTAATCCTTTAAGAGTTTTTCAATGTTTCTACCCCTTTCCCTCTTCTGATGTGCGTCGTTTACGGTTTCTTTTTTACAACCCGGACCTTGACGCTGCTTGTCAACATACATCGTTGCAAGCTGGTCCACTTCCTCACAGGAATCTATGGTCAAGGTATTCCTAAGATATGTCCGTCCGACCTCTACGTTCCACACCACAGCTGGAAGGTCCCCAACGGCATTTCTCCCATACTCTGTGAGCCCTTCACTTGAAATTTGTCAGAACGCACGCACCTTGTAGTCTTTCTCCTCCACACTAAGCGTCTAGTCTTCATCTCATCTCATTTGCTGACGTTGACACCTAGAGCATTTGATGCTTCCTGCACCCGTTAAGCTTTCGCATTGGTTCACCAATCAAGCAAGATGTGGCCTGATGTTCAGGCATGTAGGCCCAGTGTGGCATTTAAGCCTTTGCATAGCTTTGCCTTGCTGTGTGAGGATCCCAAGAAGACCATCTCTGCAGAAGTGGAGAGCAACTTGGATTTTCAGCTTCGAGGAGCTTGTTCTCCACCGATGCTGAACATGGTTTTGTTGATGGGAGTCGACACATGAGTGCCCATTCATTGGTTCTCTTTTGTGGACCTGCAGAACTTACAAAGTTGATCATGCACGGGGAGAGTGGGTCAGTTCTTATGGGCTCGAAAGAGCAGACATGGCCTCAGATTGAGCAAAGATCAGTTGGAACCTGACAGATCGTACCTTGTGACCAGAATCTCAGTTCAGTTTTTTGAAGTGCCAGAGGTCCAAGATGCTGAGGAGAAACACTACAGTTGACCTTGGTGACAGAATGTTGGCCATACAGTCACACCGTGATCATCTAAGTGCGACACACACACACACACCGTGCCTGCAGAATTGCAGTACATAATCTCATCATTCACTGGGTCCGGGAGTGATTCAATGCTGGCTCTTTGGTTCATTGAGCGGGTAAGGAGGTGGTTACCCTCATCTACTAGGTGGCTTGCTTGCTTTCCCTGAGGCATTAGAGACGGCACAATGGTTCTGAGCACGCCCTACGAACGCCTCCCCTCCACTGGTTCTGGGAATGATTTGTGCCTTGGCTTCGGACTGCGGAAACTGTACTGGCTGGCAAGGAGGAGGATCATAGTAATAGTCCATGACGAGCAAAGTTTGATTTTTTAGATGATTCCAGGCTATTGGTGAATGGTTGAAACTGCTGAAATGGTTTGGGTTGATGAATGGCTCAGAGGGGTCCAAATGGTCTTGGAATCGACTCCTGCACAGTGGCACCCCCAAAAGAGTGAAGCAACGAGGCCAGTGCGGTGGAGTAAGTGAGCAGATGTGGGGCGATGCTGTCCTTGCCACATCCCGTCCGGAGTGTGGAAGTGGAAGGCCCACCCTCTCTTCGAAGCCACATCAATCTATTTGGCTGGAGCTATAGGCCTAACTGTTAACTTCTCTTATCAGTATCAGATACAAACCTCACACAAACCTCACCCATTCGCCCTACAGAATGAACAGGTACCGTGTGGACTTGGGCCCCAATATTGTGGCCAACAAGCGCATTGACCGTATGTTGGACGAGCTTCAGCGATGTTTGGGAGTTGATCAGGCGGCCAATCCCAGGGAGCCTTGGCTGAGAGGTGAGACCAACCGCCCAAGCAGACACCCTATAGCGTGGACAACCTCCTAGTTGCCTGAACAAATTGATCTAGAACTTGAGGCTTATTATTTCCTGGAAGCTTTTGCGAAAGGGTTCTTCATTAGTACACTTGTCCCTCTAGATTTGGAAACAGCAGACTTTGCACTTCTAGACTCCTAGACTGCTCCTTCAGATCTGCTTGTCCCAGACTCTACCCAAAGATCTTCACCGAGGATTCCATTCAGAAGCTGAACTACAATGCCAACCTTTGTGGCCTCTTGCTGCCCGGTGCCCCCTTGGCTGATGCCTTGTACGCGGACATTGGCGAATCTTCGGCCTCCGCGGCCAAGTGGGACCCCATGACGCGTGCAGCACCCAATCCGAAGGCAGACATCAGCAGAGCGGCCAAGGAGAAGGACATTGGAGCAGAGAAGTACACCCCAAAAAGCAGCTAGGTGGACATTTGCGCAGAAATCAGTAATACAATGTAACATAGTACGTAATATATATATATATACACATGGTTTTAGCATGTTTGAGGGCGGTTTCTTGGTTGGAATGTGGGCGGGTGGATGTGCCGAATGTCATGTTACTTTTGCTTCTATTTTTGGTGAGCAACTTACACAGCTCGGGTTTGAATGCCTAGGCATCCGACGGCACATTTGGACATGTGCTTGGTGTGAGTAGGGCTGGCTGTTTGGACAGTTGTGGTGGGTGTTTTGAGGGCAGTTATGTGTCGACGGCACCAGAGTCAAACTTATGAATCATGTTGGCATATTGCGATTCATTGTTTATTTATGAAACTTTAGTGGAACAATGAACATCAGTCTACGACGAGTCTACGAGCGAGTTATCATGTCAATGTACATAGCCAGCCCTAACGTGTTTTGACATGTTATGCATTGCCAACCATTCATACTGCAGTGAATCGTCCTTGACCAATACCTACAAGGATGACGCATCTAGGAGCAGGACTCACTAGCCGTCTAGAGCCGGGCAAATCGCGGCCAAGGTGAGATCCACAGCACCAAAAAAATGAACGAATCGCAGCAGAGTGCCTGCGACATGGTTTTGGAGCAACGAAGGTGGCGAATCGCTGTGCCATGTTTGTGGAGCTGTAGTTTGGGGTGGCAGGATGATGCAGGATGTAGTGAAGATGACCCAGAGATACCGACATCGGCCTCATCTCTGCCGTCCTTCGTACATACTTTTATATACTTCGTGGTGCTCCAAGACCTGGGGGTTTGAGTTTGGTGAGTATGAGAGGTTGTGTTGTGGACAGCTAGGGCTTGCCTGCTGAAACTCCTTCCCAGTTGTCGTTCCTCAGAGCATCTAGTCATTGTCGCTCTTCGGGCGCTTACCACTTGCAGTGTCCATCATAGTCCGCCTTCGGATTCTTCAGCTGTGTTTGACAGCAGGATGAGATCCAGCTGGATCTAGTAGATTGAAACCAGCCACTGCTTAAGTTCCTGCAGCATGGAGCCAGACGTCAGGGATTATCACGATAAATGCACACCTGTTTTTAAAGACAATATATACAGTATATATATATATGCATACATACTTCGCCCCTGGAGTTTCGAAACCACGGCACCAGCGCTTCTGCAGAGGCGCTTTAGCTTGATCCAGGGGCCACCTGGAACGGGAAAGACCACCACTGCCTCTGCCATCATTTGCGGCTGGCTGAAGAGCAATCGCGGCCCGGTGCTTGCCTCGGCTTTCTCCAACAAAGGATGCGACAACATTGCGCGCCTGGAAGCTGAATAATTCGGACGCGGTTGGTTCTTGAAATTTTGGGTGTGAAGGTGGATAGCAGGAAAGATCTATAGTCTATATACAGTAATTGGCAATTGCAGACTTTCAGAACATGTTAGCTGCATCAACCTCAAAACTCATGATGGCAGCTGGTTTGAGAATCCAAAGTTGCGGTCGTAGAATCATAGGTGGAACATGGTGGAACCTTGTGGAGTTCGGGAAGTTGCTCAGGGTTGCCTTGAGTATCAACCAGCCAAGGCAACAGTTGCACCACATGGGTGTCCGGGTGCTGCGCATGGGCCTGTGTTCGGCCAAGGAGCCTTACTCCTTGGAAGCTTGACTTGGGGATGGGTGGCCACAGGGATCTGAAATGCCTGGGCAGGCTGTGGGTGTAGCCTCTACTTTATTTGGAATTTGCCATCCAACCAGAAACAATGGAAAAGTCGACAACAGTCTGGGACAGAAATGGTGCATGTCTACATGTCAAGTTGTAATGATGTTGGTAGGGGTGGACTTTTGTTTGCTTAATACCATGACGGAGGCATGCGTTTTCTGCTCGAATCCTCTCACTCTATCCTTGTGTCGGCAAACAAATTGCCAAAAGAGAGCTTGACAGCTATACAAACTTACTAGGAAAGAGCTACATCATGTCCATCCCCGTGGAACCCTATTCATCACCAAAGTACGGGTCAGAAGTCCCATAGTAGGCGTGGTTGAAACGTGAAATAGTATATATACAAAGACAGGGGTGAAATGTACATATTTTTTGCTTGGCAGTTTGCCGTTGGAGAATGATTTGCACATTGGCAGAGGTCATCCCAAATCCTCGAATCGTTTTGAGTCTCATTTGCTGGTCTTGCCGCATAGCTGGGCGCTGATGTTTCGGTGCTGGCACAGCCTTCAAGGAAACGCGCTTGGAAGAAGCCGGCTTTAGACGAGGAGACAAGGGCATGAAGGTGCATCGCTTTGGCTTCAGGGGGAGGTGAATCAACAGGGACTGCTCGACTTACAGTTCGTCCACCATATGACACAACTTGGAAGAGCAATCTGCAGAATAATTGTGATTTTGATTCGGCTAGATTCAGCGACTTTAAGACAAGCTTGTGGAAAGAAGCGAAAGGGAGTAGATCAAGATCTCGTATTGACCTAGTTAAACTTAGTTGGGCCTCGGTTCGATCAGAACCCCCTGTGCACTGGGACAGGCCGTGCTGGAGAACATCGATGTAGTTTGTGCCACGTGCATCGGTTGTGGCATGGGACCCTTGGATAGCCGAACCTTCCCTTTCATTGTGATTGATGAGGCGGCTCAGGCGGGTTTGGGAGGAGGGCAGAGCACCTTGCGGCTGCAGGTTGGAAGATGGAGGGCATTTTGAGCCAGACTTGTGATCGTTTCCGTCAGCACTGAGGATCTTAGGAAAAGGTGCACCAGTTTCCTTCTGTGCTTGCCTGCATGCTGCCAGCACTCTGAACAGGTCATTGAGCCCGCTGTGATTCTACCCTTGGGCAAGGGAGCCGTGCAAGCTGCTGCTCAGCTCGGTTGAACGGATGACAGAGGCACAATCACAGAAGAGAAGGTGCATAAAATGGCAAGGTCAGAGAGAATTTGACGCACACCCATGTCCATGGACATCGCAGGGCAACGTTTGATTAGTTTGATTCTATATGATTCTATCATGTTTCAGTTTGGGCATGATTTAGAACGAATATATAGCTATGAGCAGGTCACCGATCAGAGACCATTAATTGATTGTGATCCAGGAACCCCCAGAGCAGTCTTGCCAAATTGTGGCACCCATTCATTCTATGTAAACGAGAGCGCCGTTTCTGCTATATGATTGTTGAAGACCCATTGCTGGCCATGGATTGCTCGCAGCCTTAGGTCATGGTCGGAGACCAATGTCAGCTGCCAGCCACCGTGTTGAGTCAAGAGGCACAGAGCAAGGGCTTGGACATTTCAATGTTTGATCGTGCCTGGTTTGCAAGAATGGATGTATATATATATATATACAAATATACAAGAACTGACAAAACTACACTACAGCATCATACTTCAGTGACTTCAGTGTATACTATACATATATAGAACGTTATGTCATAGGGGCGGATGGATGAACCAATATCATTGTGCCACACAGGAGCATCAGACATCTTCACAGGCTGCCGGGAGCATTTGCAGTTCCCATGGCTGCGTTGAGTCCTGAGGACTGCTTTCCATGGGTATGGAATACACGCTGCTCAGTGACCAGTACCGAATGCATCCCTCCATCAGCGCGTTCCCTTCGTGGCGTTTCTACCGTGGTGAACTGAAGAATGCTGTGACCGATGCTGATCGTCCCATGCCTCCAGGCCGGGGGGGTTGCTGCTTGTGTCAAGTATATTAGAAGCGTTTGCAGTATGAAAGCCAAACTGAGGATTCCTGCGCAGGGTCCCAAAATTCTCCAGAGAAAGAGAGTCGAGGCAATTCCCAAAAAGCCTACGTCAAGGGTGCCAGTAAGCCCATGACACGCCTTTCACCTTTGGGTGCGGTATTCCTCCAAACTTATCCACCATCCAGCAATGCCGTTTTTGATACGAGTTCCAAGTCCCCACTATTTGGTTTGCTATTGTTACTAGTAAGAATGCTCCGTTCGTAGCGATGCCAGGAGCCCCTAGTAGCTTCTTGTTATTACTAGTGCCTTCTACACCCGGCCCAGCTTTGTAACTTTGTCGTTTGCTAAGCTCTACCCGCAGCAGTCGGTCCCATTTCTTGGCGAGCACCGCGAGGTTTGCCATTCCGATCGTCACTTGTGTTCCTCCATGTAGACGCTATCGAAAGCTCAGGCTGGGGTGGTAGACAGGAAGAGACTTGAGCTTTAATGCAAACATGTATATGGTTGGTGAATACTATTTCCCTCTCTTGTGATGATGGTTGAGACGGGCATTGTGCACGCGTCATGGCAATACGGAACACAATTTTTTTGGGAGCAGTCTCATGTGGGATGGTCATTTCTAAACATGTTGGATGTAAATCTCAAGCCAGATGAACTGATCTGATGAATCAATGCTTTGCCTTTGCCTTGGAAAAGTGTTTTATCCAATGTTTGTGCTTGTCATCATGCCACAGGTGAAGCAGAGTCTTTCCAAAAGTCTTTCCTGTCATTAATCCTTCATGCTAGGTGCAATAGACCAATGTTCAGGGGGGGTTCTTACTACCAGCAATTCTCACTGAACTTCTATTCTTTTGTACGGGCGTTGGAGCCACGTCTTTGAAGGCACCTGTCAGGTGTTGTGTAGGTGATTTTGCAGGGCTTACACTCCTTACACTTACACTGACACTTCTATCATGCTATTCCATCACCTCCAGATGTGGAAGACGTGCAGGTGGCGCCTCAAAGAAGAATGAGGGCGAGGCAGACTGTGCCTCATGGATTGTGGAGCCTAGACCGGCAGTTGTTGGCGGGTGGATGAGCGGACCAAGAGCGGAGAAACATAGAAATGAATGCTGTTTCTTGAGGTTGGGGATGGTGGCCACAGTTGCTGGAGTGAGTTGGAAGGGTAAGATGGGAATGGTCGGATGAGAGGCTGGGCTGGGCTGCACAAGATGTACAAGTCTTTTTGAGCCACGACAGTGTACACGATTGCCATACCAATTGAAAGCTTGAGGTTCTCGAGGTGTGTCCTTTCTTCCAATCATGCAGTCACTGGGATGATCCTTAGGACTCAGACCTCATGTGTTGGACAGATCGTCGCTGGCATAGGCGGAGTTTGCTACAGAGGGGTTATCTACATGATCTATACAACGGGGGCGCATGGTGTGCAACCGCTGCAAGCGTATTGTGTGAAAATCCATGACAGTACACATCAATTACATCAATACACCATATCCACATGAAGCTTTCTGAAGTCGTTGAGTGAACAGTGGAGCCCAGGAGCAGGTGATGCAAAGTGGCATCCGACCGGAGCATATTGGCATCATCTCGCCCTACGGGGCACAGGCACAGCAAAGCCAAGTGTCCCTAGTAGCTTCTTGTTCCTAGTAGTAAGGCCAGGAGCCCCTAGTACCCTAGTAGCTTCTTGTTCCTAATAGTAAGGCCAGGAGCCCCTAGTAGCGTCCTTGCTCCTAGTAGGGATGCCAGAAGGCCCTAGTAGCTTCTTGTTCCTGGTAGTAAGGCCAGGAGCCCCTAGTAGCGTCCTTGCTCCTAGTAGCGATGCCAGGAGGCCCTAGTAGCTTCTTGTTCCTAGTAGTAAGGCCAGGAGCCCCTAGTAGCGTCCTTGCTCCTAGTAGCGATGCCAGGAGGCCCTAGTAGCTTCTTGTTCCTAGTAGTAGCGTCCTTGCTCCTAGTAGTAAGACCAGGACCCCCTAGTAGCGTCTTGCTCCTAGTAGCGATGCCAGGAGGTAGCTTCTTGTTCCTAGTAGTAAGGTTCAGGAGCCCCTAGTAGCGTCCTTGCTCCTAGTAGCCAGGAGCCCCTAGTAGCTTCTTGTTCCCCTAGTAGCGTCCTTGCTCCTAGTAGCGGTGCCAGGAGCCCCCTTGTTGTAAGGCAAGTTTCCCTAAACATCTAGGAGCCAAATGCTTCGGGGAGCGTGAGTCAGACTTAGTCTAGTAGCTGCCTCCTTACTTAATTGAGTAGGGGAATACATAATTATATAAGTAGGAGCAGGCTAAAAGAGTATGTAAAAAGAGCCAAGATTCCGAAGCCCAAGTTGACCTTTTTTCAGAAGTGGCATCGGCCGCTCTGTGTGGCAGGTGAAGTTGATTCAGCGAAGTTTGCCGTACAATGCCCAGATGTCCGTCCAAGTGTCGACGGTGGATGCATTCCAAGGCAAGAGGACAGGTGGCCCACACCAGTGGGAATCCAGCTGTGCCATGAATAGTTAGTGAAGTTGGTGGCAAATTAGTTAATGCCAGAAGCGGCCGAACGACACAAGTGTTGCAGTAAGAGGGCCTTAGGGCCTCAGTTTTGGTGCTAGCAACTAGTGGCCCAGCTTGAGCTTTCGTTCGCTTTCCTTATCAAGTGGCCTTTCAAAAGAAGCTGTGATATTTAGCCTCAAGCACATGGCTTACCAAAATAACAAAGTCCCTGGAGTGAGCTCTCACTCCTGAGCTTGCCTGGCTGATTCTGAATGTCAATCATTCAAATCACACCTTGTTGTGGGGGAAGTTGATCAGCCTATGCGAAATGACAGAGTTGTTCCTGAGACTGTGTTTGGTCTTTTCATGTTAGGGCTAAAGGCCACTGAGCAAGTCCATCTCAGCCATCCGGGCATGTCTCAAACAATTGAACTCTAAACAGTTTAGCCGTTTAGCCACAGCCGTCGGCTGCACTGTGACTTGCCGTCGGCAGGTAGCGAGCGTGAGGTCATCATCCTCAGTTTGGTGCGCGCCAACCGCCGCGGTGACGTGGGTTTCGTGGCAGACTGGCGACGTCTCAATGTGGCGCTGAGCCGAGCCAGACGGCTCTGTGTGGTGGTAGGCCCGGGAAGCTTGCGACTGGTGGATAGGATCAGCAAGCGAATGATCAAGAAGGTCCTCATGTGCCGATAGAAGCCAAAAGTATGTGGGACAAAAGCTTGAACTTAGGCCATTGCATGTGAGCCTTAGAAGGTGATGCATGCATAACTTTGCCGAGACCTTGGGGCACTTTTGCCATGTCTCCACTCCTGTTTCGGTTTCAACTTCGACGCCTCAACAAACATATCAGCGCAGCCAAACATAGCAGCATCGCTCCCCTTTTCTTGAGGCCCCAGAAGTGCCTGAGAGCAAGTGCAAGCTGCAACTCTCAGACCTTGGTCAGTGCCCCACTGGCCCTCCACCATCCATCTCCAGGCAACATCCCCACGTGGCTGAACTCTTCTAGCGCTTTGATCCGGGATTGGCTGGGCTTTCACCAAGTGGGCAAGGCCGATGTGCGTGCCTTCCGAGGCATGGAGGGGTGGCTTGGGATGGACCCGCCATAGCGTTGGAGATGTCATGGGGAGATGTTTGTGAATCCGAATCCGCTTTCCACCTTTCCAGTCAAGCTCCAGATGGTTGTGGTTTCCCACTTCGGGCTATGTCCAATGAGCCCCTGGTGGACATGACTTGCAAATACTTACAATCCCACACCATCACGCCTCTTTTATCACTCCGGAACCGTTGCGCTTGGGCCCATCCTCCTGCAGTGCGCGGGGTTGCAGGTTACGTGACCGACCTGCCCATGGATGTGGCCGCCAAGGTGCGTGAAATCACAATCAAACGACTTTAGTTAAATGTTGGCTATTTGTCATTTAGAAATCTTAAACATTCATTGTACATTGTCTCACGTGGCCAGTGAATGATTGTGCAAGGGTTCTTCAATGTCGTTCTTCATGATTGTTGAGAATGGCATGGGTTGTGGCCGCTCAAAGGCTGCCAGACATGAGTAGCCTCCAATTTGTCAGACATATTCTTGGGTCACGGAGCTTATTGGTTTGAGCTTACACAATCGACGAAGCCCTAAACCTTGCTGATCCTTGCTGTGTAGCACATCATCATGCTGCACGCTGAAGCATTCACGTCGTCATGAATTGGGTGTGTAGTTTTGAATCGGGCATGGCTAAAACTAAAGTTATATAAGGCCGGATCCCAGCAAAACCAACCGTATCCGCACCAAAGGGCTCCCAAACACACCTAGCCGCCTAGCCAGGGTGCAAAGGTGGACCACGTCGTGTGTGGTCCATCTCCCGCGGGAAAAGAACCATCCCCTCCCCGACTCCACCTTGGAGACCTAAAGGATTGCCGAAGAGTTTTCCTCCAATGATTATGATGATTACATATGATATGATGACTAATTGGTAAGTTCAATGGTTATATGACCTGACCACGATGACCCTGATCACCTGATCGACCCCAGGTCATAGCCATCAGCCAGAGGCTCTCATTCACTTCGTGCCTTCGTCAGGTGAATGCCTTGCGACAGGACTTTATCACAAACAACCCGGCACCTGCGAAGCTGTCGCGCGCAGAGAAGGCTGCGCGCAACGTCTCGGCAGCAGGGAAGAAGGCACGAGAGATCACCCAGGCCTTGGAGGATGCTATTAAAGCAGAGGATGAGGCCGTGCCTTGGTGAGGGATAGGTAGATTGGATTCTGATTGGAATCTGACACTGCACGCTTTATTAATTGCCTTTTCTCAGCAGGGTATTGGAGAAAACCAGATTTCTACTCCAGGTGTATGAAGGATCAATTGGACAACTACATACTCCACTCGCAAATCTCACTTTGTGGACTGGTTTCATGATCGCACATGAAGAAGTACCGTCACAGATCGTTGGCTACGGATCGGGCCTACTATTGGGCCAGCCGAGGTGTTGAAGAGTGTCATCAGCCAGGCTAAGGAGGCCGGCATCGAAAAGAGCATCATCGATGAGGCGGAAACCACGCTTGAGAGCCTTGGTCAGAGACCAAATGCCGTCACCATGGGCTTGCTACACGTTTCTATTGACTTCTCTTTCTTTCTCTCTTTCTTTTTTCCCTCTCTCTCTCTCTCCCTTTATATGTAGAGTTCAGACCGGCTTGCCCACAATTGCAGGGGATGCTGTATTGTTTGTCCATAATGGTCGGCAACAGCTAGTCATCGACAATGTTGCTCCATCATTCACCAGGGCTTCGTCACTCTGCTGGACGCTCCCCGAGGAGCTTGAGTGCAAGCAAGAGGCTCAACGCGGCCATTAAGAGTCGCGACCCCACTGCCTTGGTGCAAGCCATCATCCAAGCGAAGATGACGGGAGTGGACGATGACGCTGGGATGTTAGGGCATTGCTGGCTGGTGAGGCGTGACACCTCTCAGATGCTGCAGCTACCAATAAGTGTAGCCAAACCTTGTTCCAAACATGGGCGGTCACCATGCTTCTAGCATCTTCTAGCTACTCCAGTGCAATCAATATCTCTAACCGCGTTGGAGTTTTCACCGCGGATTGTCAGCCATGACTGGTCCCCAGGTGCCAAACGGAATGCTTTACTCAATTAGGGGTTCAGGAAAACATGTCGTAGCATGATGCAAACTTGAGTGAAATCTTGCTCTTAGCGGCAGATGAAGTCATGCAAGCGACGTCAAGAATATGGTGACATAGCATGCCACAGCCTTGTTTGAAACTACCAGCCCGGCTAAAGCGTGAGAGATGTGCCAGCCAATTTGATTAATTAATCAAGTGTCACTCAAAATGGCCCAACCATGGGATGACATTTGGGGACCTCCAGCTTTGATCATGTGTTATTTTGGATAGCAACTGAGATTTTCGCTACATCAGCCTTTCATGTGCATTGCTGCTTGGATCCCTCCGTCCATGGTGCATGCTTATCGGACATAATGGCGTTCTTCAAATTTTTGAGCCAAGGACAAGATCGACAAAGCTGAGGCTGCTGAGTGGTTGACACATAATTGATGCCCCTTGCCGAACCAGGAAGTCGATTCAAGACTCTGAACCTGAGCCGGTTCTTCTGAGCCTTCGCCACTACTGTGCAATTCTTTGCAGTACTTAAAAGTCATTATATAATTCTGTTTGGGTCTTTGTACTATTGTTGAGTTGTTAGGGACTCGTAGGACTCGTAGGCTGTTTGTTGCTAGTGTTCTTGTTTTTTCTTTGTGTTTGTAGTACCGTTTCTCTGCGAGAAATTCAAAAGTATAGCATATATCAAACCATTGATATAATCATATGATTGAACGTATGGTTTAAGATGGAAGATGGGCGGATAGAAAGGTAGCCAGCAAACGAGTCATACTGTTGATGGACAAAATCCTGCACCACTTTGCTCGCAGTTTTCTTGCTGCCCTCGTTTTCCCTCGTCAACATTACAGTACATTGATTGGGGCCACCACAGTGAGAAAATTAAACCAAGTTGAAGGTCCAAAATCCTGCATCACCTCCTCAAAGGCGTCGCGCCAACATTGAATGAGGGGGCGCAGGGGTTGCTATGCGACCCTTCCAGGGTAAAGTGGCGAGTGGTGAGGTGGTGCAGGAATTCGTCCATAAACAGTATTGTAGATAGGAACAGGGGTAATTAGATTGGATTGGCTTCTTAGGGGTTCAATTGGCATAATTGATCATAATTTGACAAATCGATTGCAACCAAAGGGTCCCTGTTTTGCTGGCAGGCGCTTATGAACGAGCTGGTGGTGCCCTCAGAGGAGCATGGCCGGTCCTTCTATGCTCCGGCACCCAAGAAGCCAGAGGCAGAGAAGGGTGAGGAACCAGAGGTGACTTGGATCATGAGGATGCTTTGATGTTGGGACATCGGAGTAAGGAGTATGGGTTATTCGCCTGACTTAGGCCATTGTGGTGGATGATTCGAGCATGTCGCAATGACATGTTGGTGAATGGGGGAATGATGGTTCACCACATTAAGTTCTCTCAACCATATTATGAATGGTTGCGCTTTGGTTTGATCAACTGTCGACTGGTGGCTGATGGGCGGCTGAATAGTAGTTGATTCATGCTTGCTGATGACAATTGAAGCCTAGTGACTGGCAATCATTTCTACCGATCATGTCAGTTATATAATACATACATTTACAACATATACACCCGGAATTAATTCCTGAACATTCTTGACAGACAGTTGCGCCTTGAGACATACGTTTCCTCTCCCATAGGTGGACATCATCATCACACAGAAGCGGTTATAGTCATAGTTTTTATTGGATGTTGTTGGGTCTTCTTGATTGCTGAAACAAGTAAGTGGAATGTAGCTACAGCTACCGATTGGCTGGGATTGATTCCTATGGATTCCTCAAGTCCTTACAGGCCGAAATCACTGATTCCTTCCTGCCCGTCTTGCACATGGATCTTTGGACAGCGGTTCTGAGGAAAAACCTGCAAAGAAGAAGCCAAAGAACAAAAGCTGGGCGGGCCTGCTGAACACTGGTCCCAAGTATGCCGGCCGCCGCCGTGATGAGGAGGCGAGACTGGAGCGGAGCCGAAAGGCTTTGAAGGTGTGGACTGGCCGAGCAACACTCTCAGCAGCTCCTGGCAAAGGTCAATAGCTGGACGACAGTCTGGACGAGTTACATATCTTTCTTTGGGTGATTGCATTTGTCAAATTGCTGGATTGAATGTCAAAGTCCAGCCAAACATTATGAGCAGGCCTAGCCGCTTCAATGTGGCATCAGTGTGGCTAGATTAATTCGTGCATCACGGAGCCAGCTGCCACTGTATTAATCCTGCTACCTGTGGAGCAAGCATGCTTGCACAGCGGTGCCTTTAGTAGGTCAACTTTGCTCTAGCCTATGCATTGGTAGCTGTGACGCTACACCTATAACACCAATTGCTGATGCCTCCCTTCTTCCTAGGTCCAACTTGAACCAATGTTGTCAGCCATGTCCTGTTGCAAATGGGAGCTGGAAATGAACTAGCCAGGTATGTCAGACATCAGACGCCACCAATATCAATAGCAGTACAAGAGCACCACCGTGCTGGTGACATTGTGTGGTTTGCGAAGATTGCGGTGCTAAAGCGGACAATGGCGCAGTGCGTTACAATCACGTGGTGCGCATCGCAGGATGATGCTCCTCCTCCACCTGAAGGAGAGACCGTCGCGGTCATTGAGGACGAGCCGGTTCCCGAAGTGAAAGAAGGCAAAGGCAAAGCAGGGCCGCTTGGTGCCAAGGCTAGGCCATGTCACACATGATCAAGAACGTTCCATCAAAATAAGGTTGAATCTAGACTAGCAATGTTCATGAAGTGTTTGTAGGGCAACATTGGCCAGAGTTTCTTTGGCAATTTTTTTGGGAACTATGAAGGTCGTTATAAAGTGCGCCCCTATCACCTATTATCCCGTATATGCCTCTTCGCAGATAGTCAACCTCCTAAATGCCCAGCTGCCACCCCAAAGGGCTACTAGTAGCGTCCTTGCTCCTAGTAGCGGTGCCCTTTGTTCCTAGTAGCTTCTTGTTACTAGTAGTAAGGCCAGGAGCTAGTAGCGTCCATTGTGGTTGTTTGGCTATGATTCTGGTACTGTACATTTTCGATGCTTTGGCAGTTAATTATAGAGCAGTGCACAGTCGAATCATAATCAAAACCTCGGTGTTCCTGACAGTCTTGCTTAGGCAGACCTACGGCATGCCGCGCAGTAGATGTTGATTTTCTCTATTGTTGCATGTGTGTTCCTAACTCCTTTGAGGGTAATATTGAGCAATGCCTGAAACCCCAGCAGCACGGTTCACTCAAGTCGATTACATGGTGTTTTTTGAGCAAGCTGGAACTAACATGGAAGTGGACAACTATTGAACTATTGCCATGTTCCTCTACAAACATTGTTGTTCCGCTTCCATTTTAGTTCTGGGGCGTATAGGTTTGGTCAAGAACCTCCGGTCTTGCCTCTCAAAAACAACTGTGAATTTGCACGCGAAAATAATAATGTCCAAGCTAATGTTCAACCCCATCGTCTACGTCCACTCATGTCGTTTTGGCCATAGGGACTGTAGAAACGGCTCCCCAACGTGCCACCCAACCAAGATCCGAAACTTGTAGGTGCCGCACGACTAGCGCAACTGCGCTTTGGTTGTTACATGTGTTGTTGTTATTGTATGATTTGTTGCTGTTGCTGGATCCCCCTAGCCCGCACTGAGTTCTCCAAGAGTGTGGGTTTCAACTGTTTTGGCCTATTCTTCACCCACCCCTTAAATGTGTTAACACACCAAAGTTGCAGTGTGTTAAGCTGCTGAGGACAGTGATTCAGCACGTAGCAGGGTTCGTAGCAGCACAACACGCCATGTGACTGTGTAGACGCCAGCCGAATGCCAATGCCAACGCCCCGGTTTGCTTATTTTTTCTAGAGCTTGGGTTGGGAGAGAATCGGAGAGAAATGATATGCATCAACAGCCACCAACTCTCAACAACACCTTTAGATGCCAGGAGTTAACTCCGCCGACGTGTTACATATATGCAATTATGTGTGTATTTACACACAAACATATATATATATATATATCACGCTCTTGCGGACGAGTCTGCAGTCGCCGCCACTGTGAACACAGCATAGCGATGTTGCACAGCGAGAAAGAACCTCCTCATGCCACATCAAGGCCATGAGCGCGCGAGGTCACGTGAAAAACGAATGGGGGATCGCTTACAAAAAGCCAGCAAAGACAAGTGTGCCTTGTCTGCCACCTCAGCCGGCCATGGCACTATACATCCCGGCAATGCCATCACGATCCCGCTAGTCGGCCGAGAGATCTGTCGTTTCTCGAAAGAGCAACCAACCGCACCCAAAACAGCATCAAACAAACACCTAAAAGTCGAAACCTGAATCGCAAGAGTTCGACCAAAAAGATCTCCAGCCTCCAAAGTTGCTACGTCCAACCATCGTTGAGAAGCACCATCAACCCGAACCGGCAAAACACACTTAGTACAAACCGAAAAACCAAGAAAAAGCTCAACGAAGGAGACAGGCGTGAGAAAATCCGCCTGCAAACTAAGGGTCACTAGCCAAGCGTGAAGAGCTTCAGCTATGTGAAGGCCAAATCTGCACAAAAACAAATTCGCTCTCAGCCGGGGCCTAACATCAATCGGCTGATCCTCTGCAAAGTCATGGCAATTAACAAATGAATCACCATACAAAAAGTGTTCTGTACAAGACTCAAGTTGTGCACTCTCAGACATAGCAAGACCATGTTCTGCAAGGTCCAGAAGAAAGAGCTGAAACATCCTGCTAAGCATGCAGTGCGATTCATGAACCTTCATCATGGCATCATGGCAGCGACGCAAGGCCGCTGGCGCACAGGTCAAGCGAGCCATTCCAGCAGCAACGTCAGCCACAGAGTTGTGGTGGATGCACCAAGCATCAAAAGGAGTGGTTGCATGCTCAATGCATCGATGAGATGCCACCTTAGTCACTTCAATCCAAGGCACTTGAGACAGACATTGCGCAACCCTCTCCCAAAGATCCACGTGCGCCCAGTCCATACAAGGCTGCTGACCCGCCAGAAGCAAACGAAGTCGCCTGACCACAAAGGCAGAGTCGCAATAAAGATGAACTGGGACAAGATAGTGTGCAGCCCATAGCAAAGATTGCAACACCGCAAAAAGCTCTGCCCGTGCAATACCCTGCCATCTGCCAGGCAGGAGCCCACTGGCCACGACCTTAGTGACGTTGGCAAGCTCAAAAGCCCAGGACGAAAGCTGACCAATTGGATGGCCTGGCAGTTGACAAGAGCCATCGGTAAATAGGTGCTGAACACCAGAATCCGAGGGTTCACAATGCCATTGTATATCCAAGTTCTCAAGATGTGCAAGCTCAGCGTGAAAGCGTGGCACCCATTCATTTGCAGGACACCAACCATGGTGGGAAAGAGCAATGGGAACATCATGCCAGCTGGTCCAACAGTCATAGTGACGTTCTCGAACCGGTTGAAAATAAACACATTCACATGCTCGATGCTCCATGGAATCCAAAGCAGAGGAACAAAAAGGACAGACCTCCGAGAAACCCGGATCGAACCGAGCCTTGAAGCTGTGCAAAAAGAATGTTCCATCTCTGATAGTGGCCAAGAGCTCTGTTTGCGACACAGTCAGCTGCGGCAGAACCTGAAAGCTAGCCCAATAGTCCAAGCCAGAGATACCAGCAAAATCATGTCGATGAAAAACACCTGCAGCAACATGTTGTCTCCAATCTTCCAAGAGCAAAGTGTGCAAGTGAGGCCGAGGAAGCCACAACAAGTCATAGCGCTGCCCACTAGCAACTCGAAGCTCAAAGTCAGTTGTGACTGACCATTGCAGGGTTTCACATATTCGCAGGAACTTGCCAAATGGCCCATGGGTGTACTTACCATGAAAATGTGCAACATGCGTAGTCCACGCCAAACGAAACTCCGCCGAGGAGCCCAAGTACCTCCAAAATGACAACACACTGCGTCGAATGTCATAGTACATGGGGTCAGTAAGAGGATCCTCGACAAGGGAGAGCCTGACACCAGGATTTGCACCAGCCCTAGCAACTCCTAGGCTTCGAAGCGCCTGAGTTCGCAGCTGTCTGAACCAGTGGAGGCCGACAAAGGTTTGCTCACCGCCATGAAGTGTGCGAGGCAACAAAGCGGTACGAATGGCAAGAGCCTTCAGCGCTCGTGGTAGACGCATGCCAGCAAGATGCTTCCAATGAACCAAGGAGGAGCCAATTCGCAATTGAAGTTGATCATTGCGATGTCGTGGTCCATATTGCATCTGTACTCCCAGATCTTTTGTGGATTCAACAGCGGCACATCCGTTGGCACGAAGCAATGCACGCATGGAAGCTGAAGTTCCCCAATAGGTGCTCTTGACCGAATCAATGTGTAGCTGCAACATGTCCGCCCACGTTTCAGCAACAATTCGTCCCTGCAGAAGCGAACCAACGGTAGGTGAAATGAGCTGAAGGTTGTCGACATATGAAAGCTCCCGTATCATGGGGGCAAAACATTTCATGTATGCATGGTACACAAAATTGAGCAAAACCATTCCAACGCAGCTCATGCTGTCTCCTTCAGGTAGTCCAGTATCACTGCCAATAGGATCGGACAGAGCTTCACGAACCCGAAATGATCTGCGCATCGATGCGAGAAAAGAGCTCCAGGCTGTAACTGTGGGAGTTGCCACCCCAAAGAGCCTGGCCAAAAACCTCACCGGCATGCGAGGGATGCAATTGAAGCACTGTTTAATGTCCAGGAGAACCCCAACATGATGATCCTCAGTCAGCTGCTGTGATTCCAGAGTGGCCTGCAAGATATATGTCAGATCCTGACATCCTCGATGGCAGAGATATCCAAAGGCCCCATCTGGTGCCAACAGAGAGAAATCCTGCAGTATGGATCGAGCACGAGCTGAGCCCCAGAGTCGGTACCACAAAGAAAAAAGCGTGATGGGCCTGTAGTCCACTGGTCCAATAGGCTCGGTCTTCTTGGCCAACGAGGTGACAATGCCAAAGGTCAATTGCTGAGGCCATTCAGCACCTCCTTCAATCATTGTTAGCAACTGCACGATATCAGCCCAGTGACAAGGAGAGAGAGCCCGAAGATCCTGACGATCCCACCCATCTGGTCCTCTCGTGCGAAGACCTTTGCCAGTAGCCAATGTAGTCTGCAGAAGATCAACAGAAAGCGGATGAGGTTTGGCAGGCATACGAGGCAAATGCGAATGGGCAAAACCAATGACACGGGACCAAGTTGGATCAGGGACATCCGCAAGTCGCTGCCAGCGAGACTTCCATAGATCAGTCAAAGACGCATGAATGTCAGGCAAGGAGGCAGTGGTCACCGAGACTTCTATGAGCATGCCTGGCACCAGCAACAGATCTGTATCAAAGAGAATCCAGAGCACCATCTTGCCATTGTGCTGTTCCTCAAAATGATCCAAAGGCTTCAACGCAAAACCTGAGGAGCGAAAAGTGGCAAACTTGTCCCAAGGAAAAACAGGCAGAGCAACATAGCCAGTGGAGACACAGACATCGACGATCACACTTGTTTGCATGGTAGTAAGCGTCACCAAGGGATCAGCAGCCGGTGGCCTCAACTGCCGGAAATGCGAGGTTTGCAAAGAAGCATTGCGCAACTGCAGCAGCTTAAGTCTTTGTCGATGATGCCAATCCTCAAAGTTGCGATAATTAAGTCGATACTCATGCC